TAGTGTAGTGTAGTGTAGTGTATTATAGTGTAGTGTAGTGTAGTGTAGTGTAGTGTAGTGTAGTGTATTGTAGTGTAGTGTAGTGTATTATAGTGTAGTGTAGTGTAGTGTAGTGTAGTGTAGTGTAGTGTGTAGTGTAGTGTAGTGTAGTGTAGTGTAGTGTAGTGTAGTGTAGTGTAGTGTAGTGTAGTGTAGTGTGTAGTGTAGTGTAGTGTAGTGTAGTGTAGTGTAGTGTAGTGTAGTGTAGTGTAGTGTGTAGTGTGTAGTGTAGTGTAGTGTAGTGTAGTGTAGTGTAGTGTGTAGTGTGTAGTGTAGTGTAGTGTAGTGTAGTGTAGTGTAGTGTAGTGTAGTGTATTGTATTGTATTGTATTGTATTGTATTGTGCATTGCATTGTGCATTGCATTGCATTGCATTGCATTGCATTGCATTGCATTGCATTGTATGACGGTCATTACAGCCAACCAATACCTAGGCAGAAAAATAGTAAACAAAATGATTTATTGTTTACAGACTTTCTGTCGAGGGCTCTGACTGCCTGTATCCACTAATGTACAATCCAATCAAATCACTGCATTCACAAACTTCTGTGATGCAAGTCAAGTTACATGACAAAGTCTGTAATAGCTTGACATTGTGAAGATGACAAACCCTCTTATAAGATTATCATTAATAAGCTCCATCTAAACCTGACATACAATAAAACTATAAATATGTTAAAAACCAAGACAAACAAAACCAAACATAATAAAATATCATATTAATCAGACAAAACATCCAATATATCATAGTTCTAAAACATCAACATAAAAATATCAACAACTGTCCATTATTAAACATAATATATAGAAATATAATAAATAAGTAAAAAAGGGATGCCAATTTGACAAGCCTGAGAATCAAACATTATAACTCTCTGAAAGGGATGCAAAATTGACAAACCCAAGTAAAGTAATAAACTATGTGGACTCTCTAAAAGGGATGCCCAGTTAACAAACCCAAGTAAAATAAATGTGGACTCTCTGAAATGGATGCCAAATTGTCCAACTCCAACTCAACTTTCAGTCAATTGATAATTTCATTCAAATCTTTTATTGATTTTGAACGTAATACGCAGACTTGTTGAAGTTGATGAATCCCTTGGATAAATGACAAAATTTGCCTATGAATTATATTTTCATATTTTGAAAATACTTGTCAAAAAGAAGTTCACAATTTTTGGGACAACCAAGATGCACCAACTAAAATTGCATGCAACAATAATTAGACATGCAGATTACTGAGTTTGTACGTGGCCTCATACCTTTAAATTAACACTGCACACTGTAGGAATGAATGAATAATTTTAGTTAAATAAATGAATTAATGTGATTGTAAAGAGGTTTTCTAAACTTATTCTATGTGTATCGGAGACACTGATAGCATCAATTTGCACCATTCCTATTTTCAGTCAGATGTTCATGGCTCTTGCAATTCCACTAAAAGTTAGCATTTTTTGACGTCACTATTTCAAAAACTGTTATAAGTATATAAGAACCTACGGCAATAGTGAACATAGTTTAAGTAGAATTGCAGGAACCACAGACATTTGATTGAACTTAGAAAAGTGCAAATTGATGCTATCAGTGTCCCAGATAGGGCTACACATAATTTTTTAGAAAACCTCTGTACAGATCTTTTAAAGAAAGAGAAAAGTAAATGAATTTATTGATTTACAGAATGACAGACAACATGATTAAAAATTAAAACTAAAATGAAAGTAGTAGAATTATCCAAAATGATTTGTAAAAAATTATGAAATGAATAAAATAGAAAAATAAACAATTAGAAAGCATGTTAAGATGGAGCCATTGTCAAATCCAGGGCCCACTCATTAATTGTCACCATAGTCTTTGGAGTGGAGGTTTTCAGCCTTTTTCCTTCATTTACCCCTTTCAGGATTTTTGTGTGATTCCATGAACCCCTTTCCAACTACAAATCCTTACTATTTCTGGATTTTCTTTAAGGTTTTTCCTGCTATCTTTTTCATGTCAGATAATAGGCCTACAGCCTAACAGAATAACTTAACTTAAAATTGTCCAAAAAATCTATACAAGACTACAAAACGCCTCATTAACACCCAAAAATTTCAAAATCAGCCTGTGGGGATGGTTGAAACCCCTGCTTTATAAGATTATAAAAGATTATTTGACCACTTAGTATTGTCTCCAAAGTAGCACATTACTTTTGAACTAATGCTTCTTATTGGTCAGAATATCTTTATGATTGACCAACGAACCATTCTTTAAAAACACAGCAATTTTTGAAACAATGCTTTTCATTGGTCAGAATATCTTCACGATCTCATAAAGAATCCTATTAAATGTGACATCCAAACCAACAACGAGTGAATGATTCCTTGACCAGGTCACATGTAATGAGCGGTTCAAGAACGTTTAACATTGAGATGGAGCTTAAAATGCAGGTCACATTTTACAGACTGATTTGACATCGATTTATCCATGCATCATCTTTCAGAAACTTATAGCAAACTAATTCTTTAAAAAATTCACCCAATCAAAAGTTATATAGAGACACCTCAACCTCCAAATTCAAAGGCCATTTAATACAATCACCTGTAACCATGGAAACCAAAAATACTTACTTGACATCTCTGATAGCACAACACAACACCATGGAGAAAATCATACCCAAAATCTAGAATGAAAAAATAAATTTGATTATCACCAAAATCACAAGTAGAAGAAGCTTCATGAAATTACTGAAAGTCAAGTCAAAGCAGGGTTCAATTTAGATTGAAAATTCGATTAGCAAATTATCGCACCAAATTTCAGCTTTGGCTTTTGGATTCGAAATTCCTAAAAATTCAGAACTAATTTAAAGTAGTAAACTAAATATATAATTCGATTTGATTCGCAGATCATCATGATAAATTAAAAGGAACGAACGAGTGACACGCTCTAAACGCTTTCTTACTTTAAATAATACTAATATTTAGTTTAAGCGTCTATTAACACAGGGAGATAACTCACCAGAATAACAGCTATACCAATAGCAATACCAGCTACTATCATACAATATTCAGCCATAAACGCATAATATTTCTCATTACATCCCTGTAAAATAACACGCAAACAATGTCAAAATATATCTATGTTGGGGGGGAAGAGAAGTTTTCAAACATAACCAGTGTATCAAGGCTGGGGGATATTGGTTTAAGTGGTTATCACTATATATCACAATAAGTTGATATTTCGGTATTTTTTAATCAGGTGATATAACTAACAAAATAAGATCCTGTACAGGTATTTATTGTGATACCAGTTTATCACCCAGCTTACAGTCGAGTTTAATATTCCTGCACATCCAGATTAAATTTAAATTATAAACAGTCCATTTTATAGGTTGTTATCAAAAGAATGTAATTGTGGTCTGTATTCCATTACGTTTTGAACCAGTCAATCAGAACATAATTCAAAAATAATAATTAACTAAAGGGTATCTAAATGATAAAGAGAAGTCTATATCTATAAAACCATTGTTTCTCAATGTGCTGTGATACTTCTAAATGTCTTATAATGATAATAATAATTTATTATTTTAGTAACAGCCAACTCTTACCAATTTTTACATTAATTTGTATAACACAAACACAAAAATCAACAGAACATAGAAAACAAAATGAACACAAAAATGAGAAATTGTGAAAAAATGTGTTTGTGATTGAAAACTGAAATTGAAAACTGTGTGAACGCTGATATCTGTGAAAAAAGAAATATTAAGTGCGCTGATAAGATTTTTGATAAACCAAATCACCAACAGTAATAAGGAAACAGTAATGCCCGGCAAAATAACATTTTACTTGCGGATTTATAATTTGAGGCTTTCCTTACACTACATTTTATGCAGGAGAGAATTCCAAAGAAAAATCGCAGTTTGTTGCTTGCACAAGATGATTTTTTGGGGGAATATATAATGCATTAAATAAAACACTTGAAAATTGAGAAGCCGTTTGTCTTCAATCGCCAGTGATATTTGTGTTATTTTGCAGAACAATCTGTTTCATAATATTAGTAAGAATTACACCAACAGACCATAACAACAACAAGATCAAAACAGTTAGTTATCTCCCGTATGTAAATCTGAAATCCATTCAGAGGACCTAAGTAGCACTTGGTTGACACTTTATAAATTACCTCAAGTTAAGCTTTAGGGAACCAAGCAAGAAATTTGCCCACTCTGAATTCCTGGAAGACCATATATGGATTACAAAATAACCTTCCCCTCCCCCACCCTGTGAAAACTGAACACTTATTCCAAAATGTTCTCATCCAACCACAACCCAAATTATAACGGCCATTCTCCAGAAAAGGCCCTGTCCCACCCAAAGCTATGGAACAACCCTTCCAGAAAAGAGACCTGCCCTAAAATCTAAGGGACCTCCCCACTCAAACTATCAGAGAACTCCTTACCCAAAAGGACCTGTCCATTAAAAATCTACGAGAACTGCCTTAAAATCTAAGGGCACCGCCTCCCAGACATCCAAAGACCCAGCCTAGTTTCAAGGGAAGATAACTAAGAGTTAGCTGAAGACAACAATATAAAACTTACAGTGAGAGGATATTTATCACATGCTTCTGGAACATCTAGGTTAATAATTGTGGCGAAACCGTAATCAACAACTCCTTTGTAGGAACCGCAACATTTAAACTGTAATAAACATGATAGGATGAAATGAGATACACTGATAACTTACGGTAGAGTGATATTTTCCACAGGATTCCGGTATGTCTCCAGTCATTTCATAGTCCATACTGCCAGTATATGACCCACAACATTTAAACTAAAAATATATACAGCATTCAATTGTTAAAGAGCTTATTCACACCTCGTTTCTAATCATCAATTGTGAGGCTCATAACACAAATCATATCATCTATTGAAAATATGGCAGTGTCTATATGACGTCACTAAACAATCGCTAAACAGCCAGGAAATGGGCTTAAAATTGCCCTTTCTCAGAAATATGTGCTGGATCAATTCATTTGAAAGTATAGCTTAATCAATTTCGATTTTAATGATGTAAAATTTGATAAGGTTTTGTTCAAAGGGATTGGAAAAAAAAGGGGTTAAGGTGATACACTTCAGTGAAACATTGCCACCTTTTTTTGTTTACTTTAAGAGCACTAGGGGGAAAGGCCAAAAAATATCATATTCCTAAACTGATAACTTTCAACAGGACATATAATGTGGAGAAAAGAACGGAAGTTGAAACTGGTAATCTGAAATTCTAGAATGGTTGAGAATTCAAAATGTTTCGCTATCTGTAAACTTCATGTGTAATAACAAATGGTAACTTATGAAAAATTACTGTCATAAAAGACAAGAGGAAAAAATTTTTTATTGACATACGAGTAGCAGAATATTTCTCTATCTATTTGAATCAAAACAAGAGTTAACTCCCTTATATCACTGGACCTCAGAAGAAACATAGTTAATTCAATATGCCGAACTCCATATCTTTGGAGTATAGACTCTTGTAAAAAACGTATGGAAACTTTACATGGAATACAATCACAATGTGTTCAATTTATTGGCTACAGTAATAATTAAGACATGATGTTGGAGACTATGTTCTTAGACGTTGATGTGGTCATAAATATTTTATTAATACATGGCACCAATGGAAATTGACTTACGCCGTTTTGTACGGTATCCATGAAGTTTTTAGAGTGTTCGTCTTTATAGTAATTCTTGACAGCATCATCCAGCATCATACCAGTCCAGTCTCTAAACTGAAAAACATAAAAATTATTAATTAATAGGCCTAATTATTTGGAAGAGAGAGAGTATGTCCAGCTCAATGAACATGTCTGATAAATCTGTAAATAACAACATAAACCAATGAGTAGTGTAACATAAAATTAAGTTCCATTATCTAATGAATCTTTACCCCTAAATGTTGCTTAAAAATTCATTAATAAAAGTAAAGCTAACATGCAAACATTATAACTAGAACAGAGTCTGACTTCATGTAGCCCCTCCCCCTCTCTCCCTCTCCCCCTCTCTCATGCAGAAATGAAGCATGACAGAAGAAAATTGACATGTGATTAAATCTCTTCCTCTTCTACACTTTGGGCAACCGTTATTTTAAAGAAATCTTACAATCAATTATGGTTGTATTTGCGCTACTTCTGTTTCTATAAATCCAAGATTTATTATCCATATTAAACACAGTTTTCTCAATTTAGTTCTAAAATACTTACGCTATCTTTAGCTACGACAGCCCAGATACCAGCTCCTAGTAGAATAGCAAAGATTATAAACAGACAAACGAAAAACTGAAAAACAGAAAAATATCAGAATCAATCAACAGTCATTACACATTCATAAATATTCATACAGCTGTCTATTCAGAAAAATAGGATGATAAAACTCATCTATACTAAATGTTTGGTGACAAAAGGAATAAAAATCTGAGTAATGTTCTTGTCCATGGTAGATTAACTCTCTGAAACAATCGCTTTGCATTTCTGAATTATTTCTGTATCTTGTGAATCTCTACAGAAGTAGGTAACTTCCTATCAAATTGATGTATTCCAATGCTGAAATCAACAATCCCTACTTGTGACCTAGGTCAGTACTTCTATAAGAGAGTTTCTCTTATAAAACCTTATCCTAGCACAATACTGAAATACACACAAAATATCATGATGGTATGATAGCTCTTATTGCCATTAAAACATGTCATTTCCATCAACCATTGACTCTCGGTCAGACAGTGGGTCCAAATCTGCTTGGTATGAGATTGGTCATCTTCACAATATCAAGCTATTACAAACTGTGTCTAATACCTTGACTGCAATAGTCACTGTTTTTGTATCATGGATGTTTTGATTGTACACTACCGAATACAGCCAATCAGAGCCCTCAACAGAAAGTCTGTAAACCATGAGACATATCTCAAGGTCTGATTGGCTGTTTTGCCTAGCATACAATTCAATCGCTATATTTACAAACTTCTGTGATACAAGATTATTGGCTACTGCAGTCAAGGTATTAGATGCATTTCGTAATAGCTTGACATTGTGAAGATCGCCAGATTGGTGAAACTAGAAACATAAAGATTTGAGTATATAAAAAGGTAAATATCACTGTTTACTCACCATTCCCAGCATACACTGGCTCTCTCTAATAGCTCCACAGCATCCGAGGAACCCGATGATCATAATGATAATACCGACAGCTATCAGAAGATAAGACAGGGTGTAAAATATGTTGAAACCGTCTGATTTGTTGACATATTGAGCCACATCTTGGTCCACACGTAACCAGATTCCAACACCTAATATAGCACATCCTAACAACTGAAATATACAAATATATATATCAATTAGTTTTAAACATTATAAATATACAGCCTATACCAAAATCCAAATCAGTATAGGCTAAGTGAACTTTTTGATAAGGGTGCCTTTTTGAAAAACCTAAATACCAAATAAACATTATAAGCTATGTGGACTCTCTGAATGAGATGCATGGTAAGTAAACAAATTTTAGCTTAATTCTTTGGAGTTGAGGGTGTGTCGAGTTATTTTATTTACACTCTGTGTTCAATACATTACTAGTAATTCTGAAGACTGTTTACATATTCAATATCAAAATCCCCCCTCCTCCAAATGGTGCACCTGTCCCCTTAATAACTATAGGACCAGAGCTCGTTATATTTTTTTCTTCAATTCAAGCCTTGTTCTCAAGTTATGTTTTTGATTATTTGTAATATTAAATAGCCTTGTAGGAATCATAATCTGGTAAAACTTCGTGTGAGCAGTCATCATGTTAAATATTGAGAGATTCTTGGACATTAATAATTTACTGATGTCTGTTTGGATACTGTCATGTCATGTGACATCTGACACTGTATCCGACGGTAACATATTGACACTGACGTCAGTCTTCTTCACATTGTCAATAATAATATTATGTTACTATGACAACTCATAAAAACTTAACAGATATAAACAAAAGAACTTATTTACCAAGAAAGAATGAATGAACTGGCCATGTATTCTCGAAATGATCTTAGCACTAGGATGTCCTAGAATCAATGTTAGTAGATAAGAACCTAGGACATCCTAGCACTAAGATGGTTTCGAGGAATACGTAGCCTGGTCTTTTACATATTATCAGATGAAAGGAATTTTACTTCCTACCAAATAACTTCGAAATGAATTAGAACAGGTGATTTCAACCTTTTTCTTTCTATTACACCTTTCATGATCCTTGTTCGATAGCATTACCCCTTATAATTCCTTACTAGGTATTTTTGAAGGAATTTTGTGATTTTTGGTAAATTTCTAGTACTTTTGAAGACGATTTCCATATATACAAGATCCGAATCAACCCTGAAAATGGTGAACCAGTCCCTAAAAAGACATTTTCAATTCCAATTTCGATAGCAACTGTCCTGATAAGAATTAATACCCAAAACCTGTCTGAACATGAGAAGGTGAGCTCTTGTCAATAAATCAAGGAAATTATAAAATATTGGACAACAGAAAGCAATAAATCATCAGCTGGACATTAATTATCATTGTTAATCAGATAATTAGATAATCAACTTTAATTAATATTTATTTCATCTGATGACAACCTGTGTAAATTGTGTTGAAACATGTGTTTTATTAATAAAAGTGAGTTATCTAAGAAATAAACTGTTACCCTATGGTGGCTATGGTGGTATATCAGGACCAAGGTTGGCTGGAAAATTGAATAAATGCGCTTTAGCACCATAGGGTAACAGTTTATTTCTTATATTTCAAGACATTCTAATTTTGATACAATAAGTAAAGTAGGGCCTATTTCTTTACGTTTCAACGTTTGGGACTACCAACATGATTGTTTACTTTGGAGACCGTCTATTTGATACAACAACGTCAATGAATTACAACGTCATCAGTTAAAATTACGTCTAATGTTTTGGTGATGAGACAATGGCGTTTATGGAGATATAAACACCACATGATTTTGTATTAGTCCAATGGAAAAAATCATAGCTAATGTAAATATACTGTAATATAATATATTCCCTTGTGATTCTTAATAAAACAATTCAGGCAATTTACAGTCATGTTAACAAAATTGATGTTTATCTGTTTACAAAAAGAAGAATAAAAAAATAAAAAAATAAAAAAAAAGCTGGTTCATACCCTTCCTTGAAAGTGGGCGTCTCATTTCTACTTTTTTGCAGAAATAGCATTGTAAATAGCAACTGTATGTCATAATTCCATTGCTGATTCCTGATGGTTTGAACATACAGATTAAAACAGCCTGTGACATCAGGCCACTTCAGAATAACAATCTCTGTAGGTCATATTCCTGGGTTGAGACATGTAGCGGTTTACTGTCAGACATATCATATTTTTGGGACCTACACTAAAACTGCATTTCCACTGAGAATTGTAAAGTAAAGCTAGCTCTAAGCTAGTTTTATTGCCAAACACCTTGTGTTTACACTGTGTTTAAATGGTTCCGGAACGATTGTAGCCTTATTATTGACAACTCATGATGTACTAGACTAATGTTTAGACCAGTAAGAAATGCAATAGAGCGGAAAGACTAGTACGCCCCTATTTCCGAACAGGATAAAGCTGGCTTTTTGCATTTCTACTAAGTAAAGTGAAAGTCGGCTTTAAGCTAGCTTTCATTCGGCCCAAAATAAATTGCTAACGCAAAAAGAGAGGTTTTTGGTTCCCGAACCCTAACTGTTTGACACGTTGCCTAGTGGAAACACGCGAAAGCTAGCTTAATTCTAGTTTTTTCCCTCAGTAGAAACACAATAAATGAAAGATAAATCTTTATGCACCCAAATAATACTTTCTTTTAAATATTCACATGACAACAGGGTGCTTGAGATCCCAATAAATATATCAAGTCAAGGCCACAAACTCTAAATAAAATATCTGAAAAAAAACTAAACATCATGAATAATTCTTCACTGATTAGTTTTATATTTTCTAGTTTTGTTAAAACAGAATTGTTAAAAGGAGATAGAGTAAGATATCGCCTGACTGAGGCTTGTTTTTATAACAATGGAGAACTATTTATATTACCACTGACAGCTAAATTTATCATTATTTACAATCAGGCTCAATGAGGACAGGGTGTAGCTTTGTTAAAAAGAGTGTTGAAATCTTGATGGCATGTTTTCAGTTTTCACAATCAGGTTTATTTAGGACAAGGTGGAGCTTACCTAGTTAGAATCTTGAAATCTTGATGGCATGTTTTCAGTTGGATAAATGTTTTACAATCAGACTCAATGAGGATAGGATGTAGCTCAGGTAATAAGAGTGTTGAAATCTTGGTGACATGTTTTAAGTTAGACAAATGACTGTGTTTGGTAATTCACAGGTTTATTGTGGACATGGTGTAGCTCAGTTAGTCAAAGTGTTGAAATCTTGGTGTCATTTCCTTAGTTAAAATCAATTATCAGGACGCAGGGTGTTGATCAGTTAGATCTTTAAAATCTTTAAATCATTAGCTTGTAACATTGAACAATTGATTTGCATTTTTATCTGGGTCATATCTGGGTCATATTGATACAAGACATTATACTTGTAAGTAATGAATCATATGTAAGTAAAATGAAAAGACATATGTCAAAGCATTGTACACATAAGTGCTACCTGTAGGTCTAGATATAAAATAATCAAATATCGTCGCTGCAAATTTATAATTTAGATTATCGATTTTCTCCACTCTCCCTGTTAATAACCGACAATAAGCCATAATAACTGATCAAAACATTAATATAATTCTATGACATAAAAAAAAACCATGAAATTAAAAATTTTGGCATGTTTTGAATTAAGTACCGTATTTATAGTGTTTCTCAATTGAAATGTTTTGATCATTAATCCATTATTGATCTATAGTCTGCCATCGATAATCGATCTCAATTTGGAAATCAATACAAGCCCTAGCTGCCTGCACAACGTTCTGAAGGAGTTCACAAGCTTAGATATTAGACACACCAGTTAACTTCCATTCTTTTATCTATGGAAATTTCTAACACAAGGATTACAGATGAAAGATTATCTAAATATAATATGAGCTATTTCCTGAAATTTTACAATTATTTCCCTTTATGACGGAAATTAATATAAATTGTTTTTCAATACAAGATTGTGTTGCTTAATATACTTAATAAATATTGGTTTTCAACAGTATATGATGGTGCTTTTAAATAATATAGATTATAATGTCAATGTTTCTAGAAGCACAAATCATTACTGAATTTGAGGTGTGTTTCAGCTTCAACTTTACTGTGGTTGTCAATTTCAGACCTTTGCCTTTTGAAATAAAGTGTGGTCAAGAGATTTTCTAAATTTTGTATGTGTATCGGGGACAATTAAATCAGACATCTGTGGTCCTGAATTATCATTTGACAAAGATTTAGGATTTGTCCAAAGTGTTGAATTTATTGAAGGGAAATACCCTACGTCAAAATTAAAACACCACCCCACCCCACAACCCTTACCTAGTTTCCTCCACAATATCATCTGATAAAGAATAAATTTACGTATCTCTGGATGGAACAGATTGACATTTCTGGATGATAAAACTAAGTTTATTGGATACCTGTTGGTTAATAAAACTAAAAGAATGTTCACAGAGTAACAGTGTTGAAATTTAACGAGGGAATATTACGATAACACGCCTTGTTTCTGGTATAAATAGATACTTAAAGGGACAAGTCATACCTTAGTCTCAGAAACGGAATTTTTTTTAGCTAAGCCAATCAGTAATAGTGTTCACAGCTTGCCATCTAAATTTGAGCCTTCGAATCCACGTGTGTCCAGAATTATCCGCGTTTGAAAATTAATATACTTCAATCATATATAGAAAAGACATCTATAGAAATAGGAAAGGAAATTTCTAGTTTTTTACATTACAGACCCAAATCAACCCCCCAAAATCACCCATCTGGACCTTTAAAGTTGTAGGCCTACACCCTACTTCCAAACACCTCATTGCTTTAATGCCTTGATTTCAAGAGGCCCTGTTGAAATGATATGAAATGAATGGAGTTTTACTTCCTACTTTTCTGCACCATGTGGGCTAATAAGACGGCCAACGCCTTGCAGGGTGCAATAAGCCAGGACAGTGGCATTAGCCTGCTTTTTTTCGATTTCCAACTGTCGAGGGATCTTTAACGTGCACAGCCTGTAGCACACAGCTTTAGCAAATACGTTTCAAAATGACTGATTTATTTTGGAGAGGACCAGATAAGGAATGATTTCATTGAGGTTGAGAAGCCAAGGTCTAATGAATTAAGAGTTACACATCCTACTGTTCTGTACCTCAT